GTATTGTATACCTAAAGTGTACCAATAAAAGAATTTAAGGAAAAAAAAATAGACCATACAGGGACAGGGATTTAGCTCAGTGGTTCTGACGCCTGCTTTGCAAGCTCAAGGTCCTCAGTTCGATCCTCGGTACCAAAAAAAAAAAAAACCCCAAAAAGAATAGACCATACATCTTTACTCTCCAGGTCACTTACTGTAGTTTTGGGTCAATTCCTTTCCCCAGGAGGCTCTCCCACTTCCTTGGCAAAGGAGAAGCTACATTTATTGCATAGCTACTCTGTTAGACATCTAGCACAGAGATGTGACCTCTGAGGAGGGGATAGGTCTTTCTCTTCTTCTTTGTATTCCTAAAACTTTTACACAGAAAATGCATTCAATAAATATTTGTTGCATGAAAGTTCTAATCAGTCCTCACACAGCTTTATGAGGTACCACCTTCTTATGTTTCAGATCCAGCAACTGAAGCTCAGAAATGTTCAGTACAAGTTTGAGGTCCAGGTCACATAACTGGTGTGAAAGATCCAAGGGTTCAAATTCAGGTCTCAGGGGTTCTAAACTATAGCCTTGGTATATATCTGTAATATTAGCACTTGGGAAGCTGAGGGAGCAGGATCACAAATTTGAGGCCAGCCTGAGCTACACAGTGAGACCCTAGACCCTATTTCAAAAGGCCAAAAATATATAAGCAAATAAAATTTTTTTAAACTATGACTTTATTATGTTAGATTCCTTATTCCATAATTATCACCACCTTCCCATCATATGTTTTTTTTTTTAAAGCTTGTTTTCCAGTTCTGGGTATGAAACCCAGGGTCTAGACCATGCTAGGCAACTCCTCAATCACTGAGCTATACCCCAACACCTTCTATCCCAATAAAGTAGATCTGTCTCCATTCCCCTGAACAGACGTTATTCTAGGGTACAGAATCTACCTAGGGGTAGGGATATAGTTTGAAGGTAGAGCACTTGCCTATTGCCTCTCATGTGCATGGCCCTGGGTTCGATCCTCAGCAATGAAAAAAACCATGTTTCTAACTTGCCAGAAGGCCACTAACATACTCTCCCCAATTCCAGCAATACTCCCCACTCCCACCACATAGCCTCCTCTTTTCTGAGAACACATGCTTCTAACTCCTAGAATAGACATTATTAACTCAAGAACAGTGGCTGTCAAACTTCAGTGCAAACCCAAATCGTTGGGAGTGCTACTAGTATAGGGACCACACTTTGTGCAACATTGCTCAAAAGAACCTCCTTTCCTTAGCCTAGACCTCACCATCCCCAGAATAAACCGTTTCCCACCATAGACTTCCCTAATGCCCAGATGGGCCCTTTCCCATCTCCCCAAGTAGTCCTCCTCCCCTGTGGAGACTTGAGACAGGGTCTTGCTTCATAGTGCAGGATGGTCTTGAATATATAGCTCAGGCCTTGAACTTGCAGGAATCCTCCTGCCTCTGCCTCCCAAATGTGAGCAGGGATCTGTGGGAGCAGTTGGTAAGCTTTATGGACCGCTGAGGAAAGGAGGATGGCAAGGTCTTATGGGATCCAGAAAAAGCCTCAACTGGAGACTTTGGAACTGACTCAGTTCTGCTTCCACAACCCTGGGTCCTTTGTTCATGGTGCTTCCTGGCCCGCCTTGACAGTGTCATCTCTAGGCAGACCCATTTTGCAGCATATCTGCCTAGGGGACCACCCTCTGCTTGCCACTTGAGGTGCAGCGACTGACAGAGAAGCCTCTCTCCCTCAGCTGGCCTCCCTGTCTAGACCAGGATATGGCAGATGTTGTCTCTGTGGACTCCCCTACAGCAGGGATTGTGGAAGGGGCAGGGACTGTGAAAGGCCTCCTACTGATTGCCTTTCCTGAACCCTGACATTAGGCACTCTTTACTGTTGCTACAATTATTGTTTTGAGAAAGGGTCTCACTATGTAGTCCAGGCTGGCCTTGAATTCACTGGGATCCTGCCTCAGCCTCCCAAGCCTTAGGATTATAGGTGTGCACCACCACACCCAGCAAGAATTGTTGTTCTAAAGCTAAACGAATGTAACAAAATCAAGCAATATTGATATGGGTATTAAAAGTGCAGCACTCCTTTTTCTCTGATATGCCATTTCCTTCTATAAGAAAAAGGTGAGCACTGGACTACATTCGTAGTGGGCAGCTCTCCAAAGCTGCAGAGTAACAATGTTCTCTGCCTTTTTCTTTGTTCTTTCAAAACTTGAGAGTCTCACCACTCTATGGCTTTGCACACCAGCTTCAGGTTAAGTCTCTTCGCATCTTTGCTCTGGGACCTATCTGTTCCCTTTCTCTAACAAAGGCAGATGGGACAGAGGTCACTGCCATCAAGTGGTCCCTTCTACTCCAATGACCTCTGCCTCACCCTGTAGCCTACTTCCTAGTGGACACACTCTGGACCCTGATTGGCTCCATTTAAAACTGTCCCTTCATGGGGCTGGGGATTTAGCTCAGTGGTTTCCCCGCCTGCTGTGCAAGTGCAGGGACCCAAGTTCGATCCCCAGTACCAAAAAAACAAAAACAAAAAACTGTCCCTTCTGCCACAGCTTCCCTTCCTGCCTGCTCATCTTCAGAGGCCTCACTGAAGCCTCCAGTTCTTTGATTCTAACTAGTACCTTCTAGTTTCCTGGTTCAGTCTGGACCTTGCGATCCCACTCCAGCTGCTCTAGGTGTCTTGCTCCTTGACCCTGTGCCATCCACTCATGTCATGCTGTCACTGTGGGTCACACGGTGGCCTGTCTTCTGGCTTTTGTTCCAGGGGCACTGGTATGAGGTTTGTACTGCCTAATCTTGGTCAACAGCTCAGTTTTTTAGGTGGTCTCATTTAATGCTCACATCATCTTAACAGAAATGAATTTATTCCTCGGGACATTCCTCTATCTTCTCACCTTGGAGAATCTTTTCTTTTATATGCACTCGATGTTTCTGTGCCCTTCGCTAAAGTTGAGGACCTGCCCCAAGAAAGCTGGGAGGCTGAGGCAGGAGGATTCACCACAAGTTCAAGGCCAGCCCGGGCTACATAGTGAGTTCAGGGCCATCCTGAACTATATAGCAAGACCCTGTGTCCCCCTCTCCCAAAGGAGCACCAGTTTCCAACACCTGGCTCCCTTCCTGCGCACCCTTTAAGAGTAAGAGGGTCTCTCCTTACTCTTCAGATACTGTGTAATTTCACAAGTTTTTGTTTGAGACAGGGTCTATGTAGTTCAGGCTGCCCTTGAACTATTTAACCCAGGATAGTCTTGAACACACAACAATCCTTCTGAATCAGCTTTTTGAGTGATTACAGGGGTGCCATCACATCTGGCTCTTGTGATTTAATATTTTGTTTGAATTACATAGTATTATGAAAAATGGGGTACCACAATCTTTTCAGGGTTTTTTTTTTTTAGGGTTGTTTTGTATTTAGTCATTTGGTCTTGGTTAGGAGGAAGTCTCTTCTTGTGTGAAGCCTTTTTTTTTTTTTTTTTGGTACCAGGGATTGAACTCAGGTCCTTGCGCTTGCAAGGCAAGTGGCCGAACCACTGAGCTAAATCCCCAGCACAACGTGAAGCCTTTCTTGATGTACTGCTCAGGTAATGCTGTCTACTCTGTTTTTGTGGTGCTGGGGACTGAACCCAGGGCCTCATGCATGCTAATCATGGGCTCTACCTCTGAGCTTTATCTCCCAGTGGCTACTCTTTGAGCCTTCTAAATGTACTCCACAAAGTTCCTGTCACTGCATACCTAGTCCTTCCTTATCTCTATATTGCAAGTGCCTCCAGCCTAGGCTCTAGGTTTTATTCATCTTTATATCCTCAGTATGTGTGCCCAGGCAAAAGCTGGAACTCAGTAATAGCTGATGAAATAAAGAGATTTAAAAAAAAAAATTCTACTTATAATAGGCACACTTTTTTTGATTGTTTGTGTCTATTTGGTTGTTTTTAAAGAAGTTTTATTTAGCTCACAGGCACACTGTTTTTGTAGTAAGAATTAAGGCTGGGATGCAACTCTGGTAGAGCACTTCTCCAGTGTACATAAGGCCTTGGATTTCATTCCTAACACTGCAAAAACAAAAAACAAAAAGCAATAAAAGATCATTTTAAAAGGCATAGAAATCTTTTTTAGGTAAGTTCTTGTCTATCCAATACTTGTAAAAGTATTTCCTTGATCTCTCCAGATTGCCAGAGATCATAAGAATGGAGCGTGTATCTGAGAAGTGAATGAAGAGGCCTGAAGAATGGTTATTTTATGGGGTTTCAACCTCCTTGAGAATCTAATGAAAAATAGAACCTTTTCCCCAATAAAATGGACATCCAGGAACACAATTTTCTAATTTGGTGCCTGGACCCAGGAGTACTTGGCATTCCCCAAGATGCTTGCCAATCCACCCTCCATCCCAGCTTCCTTCAGTCTCACACATACAGAACTTTACTCTAGAGGCCCACGGTACTAATCAGGACTGAGAGTGCAGCCCAGCTGGGTGAGCACTGTTTGTCCATTCTATAGTGCTACTACTGTCCATTTAACACTAAGTGCCTGGGGCCTCCATGGAGCTGGCAGATGCTTTGAGAAAAAAAAGGACAAGTTCTACCAAAAGGAATGGCATGGTAGCACATGCCTGTAACCCCAGGACTTGGGAGCCTGAGGCAGGAAGATCACTGCAGGTCCAAGGCCAGCAAGGGCTACTTAGTAAGTTCAAGGCCAGACTGAATTATATAGTGAGATTTTGCCTCAAAAAACCAAACAACAGGGCCAGGGATTTAGCTCAGTGGTTCTGCTGCCTGCCTCGCAAGCAGAAGGACCCAAGTTTGATCCCCAGTACCAAAAAAAAAAAACCCACCCAAAATCCAAACAATAAAACAAAGTTTCACCAAAGGAGAACAACATGACAATTAAGCAAAGGACCCCAGTCAGTAAAAGGGGAAGAAGCCTAATTATTCAGCTCCTCTTCTGGGCAGCTATACCCTCATTACCTACTTAACTGCCACAAAATTTAAAGAGAAATGATTAAGAACCCAAGTGTTTTATTACCAAAAACAATGGTTACACACACATACATACACACACACACACACACTCAGAGAGTACCTTCAATCCAGTCCCTGAGGATAACCACAAATGTCCCTGGGGTGTAGGAGGACCCCTTGAGAGAAATGGGTGCCTGGTTTTCAATGCCTTAACTGGTATCAAGGAAAGGGCCCTTGTAAGCGACTAACCATTCATCATCCTTGGGCCTAAGGACTCCTAAAGATGGGTATGGATGTGAGTTGACTAAGGATTTAACTGCTGCCCAGAACACTGAGGGAGTTATAGTTAAGACTGATAACGAGAACCCCATAACAAGAACACACATGTCCAGGATCCCCTCAAAGAATCCAAATTCCTCAGGATCCCTACAAAACACAGTGTGGCTAAAATTGGAAGTTCTTAGAATCTGTAGAATGATGCAAACCTGGGCCACAAGCGACCACACTGTTTTCAGCACCACTCCTGAAGGCATTCATTGGCAAAGGCTGCCCACTGGGGACACTGCTATCTGCCTGGCTCAAACCTCAAGGCCTGGGGTAGGAATGGTCAGCTTTTGTAGCCTTCATGCCATCTGGACCTCTGGCTCCTCAGCTACTCCTTGAAGCTTTTCCACCAAGCCCCCTGAGGGTGGCTCAGGGACTGGGGGTGGCTCTCCTGGGGCTTCAGACAACACATAGTAGACGATCTCTCGCTGGCCTTGGGCATTGGTCTGATTCACCACGTGGATAACAGGGCTTGAGCTGCCCTGAGAGGTGGAGAGAGCTGTTCCCTCACTGCGCCCACTCGCTTCTTCTGCCTCTTCAGGTCCTGGCTCTCCCAACTCTGTTTCTAGAATAATGCCCTGCAGGCTGCTCTCACTCAGCGCCACTCCCAGGCCTGGGCCCTCTTGTGGCTGCCGAAGCAGTTGCTGTGTCAGCTCCACACTCTCATAGCGAACCAGCTGCAGCCTCATGTAGCCATCTTCGTGCTCCTTATACCTGGTGGGGGAGAAGCACAGGGCAGCAAACATGGGCAGAAGATGCAGAAAGGGCCCAGACACTGGCGAGTTAAGAGACAAATCTGAGGGACAGAAGACTCCTGGGATTCAGTGATGGGACTGAAGACAATAAAGGTCTTTATTGGACTATGTAAAAGAAAAGGCAAGAGGGAAGGATCATTATTCAAAGTGGAAAATTTTATGTAGAAACCCAACCCAGAGAAAGAGACTGATTCTCTATGTGGAAGGGCAGGAACATTAAAGGGTTTACGAGAAGGGGATGGAGCTGAGGGTCAGGACCCTTTGGCTCTAATTCTAATTCTGGCTGCAGGACTTTTGGCACCATTTACTGGGTTTGCCACTGTGCCTTAGATTTTAAAAATTCAAAAAAAAAAATATCTTTGCCCCACTGCTTTTGGACTCTACTAGGGTTGAACCTACACAGAGATGGCAAATGTTAATGTGGTACCAATTTCAAGGTTTCTAACTTGTTTATAAAGGATAACTGGTATCTTTTTTTTTTTCTTTTTTCCATACCAGGGATCAAACTCAGGACCTTGTGCTTTCGAGGCAAGCAAGGTGCCAGTGAGCTAAATCCCTGGCTGCAGAAAGATACTCAAGGTTTCTAACTTGTTGAAACATATAGGGAGAAATGTGTGTGATCTGGAAGGAAGATAAAGACATACCGAAAACGAGGGTGCCCTGAGGGCCACTTGAACTGGTGCTTCTTACGAAGATGCACAGTGAGGTTGTTGCCTCGTGTGAAGCATTTGTCACACACATGACACTTGTACCTTGGCTCTGAGTCTCCCTGATGGGAGGGGAGGGAGAAGTGAGGCCAGGCTCCCCAACACTCCTGCTAGCCCTTCCCCACCACCAGACCCACTTACTTCATGTACTCTTCGGTAATGGTATTTGATAGAGCAGAGGGTCCGGGCACTGAAGCTGCAGTTCTCAAAGTCACACCTGTAGGCTGGCCCCTTGCTGTGGGTGTCCAGGTGTTTCCGGAGGTCAATCATATTCTTGCAGCTGCCAGGAGAGGTCAGGAGGGGTTGGAGGGCCCAGGGGACCCTGGAACACAAGCTCCGTTTTCTGGTCCCTGGTTCCCCTTACCTGTAGTCACAACAGTCACATTTAAAGGGCCGGTCCTCACTGTGGCGAAAGCGCATGTGGTTGCGGAGGGAGGAAGGCAGCGGGCAGGTCATGTCACACAGAGGGCACTTATAGTGATTCACTAAGAGGAGCAGAGAGGAGGCTGTGATCTGGGAATTCGGAACCTAAAAGGGTGGACAGAAGGCTAGGGCAGCGGGCCACTCACCATGGTTGCGCATGTGGTCCCTCAACAGCCGCTCTGTGGCAAATCTCTTAGAACAATGAGAGCACTGGAAGCGCTGTTCTGAGGTGGGGTGGGCAGAGGAAAGGGAGCTGTAGGGGATGCTGCAGAGGTACAGAGAGGTAAACCAACCCAGGCAGGAGGGAACCACCCAAGGAGTAAAGGGGAACTATGGACAGGACTTGGAGTTAGGAACCTGAGAAGGTTGGCTTTACCACTTACTAGCTGTGTGATCTCAGGTAAGTGATTTAACCTCTCTGAGACTCAGTTTCCTCATCTGCAAAAAGGGGAATAAGAAGCCTACCTCATGGGGCTGTTGTGAGGATTCTCTGAGATAACTGATCTGGCACAGTTGTAGAATAAGAAGGTTGAGGAACAAACTGTGGGAGGTGTCTGAGCCCAAAATGGGGAGGGAGCCAAGCTGCAGGTATCTTCAGTGGCCATCTTCCCTGGGAACATGCCCCGGCCCGACTCCAAGCAGGATGGCCTATACCCACACCCTTCTCTCTCACTGCTTACGATCCAAGGAGGTCTGGCGACGGATGTGATCTAAGAACTTAGTGTTGTTGGCGAACATGCCCCCGCAGGTAGGGCAGGCCACCACCTTTTCCTGGGTGTGGCTGCGGAGGTGCTCTCGAAGCTTACAGCGGTCCTTGAAGGTACAGGTACAGCCTGAGAAGAAAGGCCCGGTCAGGGCCCAGCCCCAAACTCCCCACGTTGGACCTGGGAACCCAAGTCTCTACAGCTAGCTTCCAGCCTTGTCCTGTAGGACTGGTCCCATCCCTGGCTACCAGAGCACCTTAGCACCCCCAGGCTTTCTTCCAGAGGCCAGAGTGAAGGAATGGCCCTACCTTTCCAGCCACACAGCACCACATGGTTGTCCTTGCCGACTGCTTGGTAGTCACAGCACAGGCAGTGTGCGTCCACATGCCGATAAAACCACTCAGGATTGTCGAAGGAGCTCTGTGCCAGGGCAACTTGGGGTGAGGATGAGAGTGGTGGAAGGACTCATACCCCCAAGCCAAAGGGCGCTTTTCAGCTCTCTCCCAAATTAACTTGGTGGGGATGGGAAAAGTTTGAGAAAAGGAGCTATACAGAAATAGAGATACTAGCAAGAATCTTGGGAAATAAAAGGCACCCCAGAAAGGGTCAAGTTGATCCCCAGGTTCCTTCCACCCCTACTTCTGGCACTGCCTGCTGACCTCACAATGTTCCCATAGACACAGGAAGTGGTCAGGGATGTCAGGGACGATATTCCGGCTCTGGAAGTCCAAGATGCAGGGGCTGAGGTCACCCTGGCTTTGCAAGGCCTGCAGCCCCCACTGTTTGAGCTTGGTGTGGTAGCAGTGGAAGTAGACGTGGCGGATGAGGTCAGCTGAATTGTCCAGAGAGCAAAAGCCACATTCCTGCCACAAGCAGGAGAATTCTTCCTCTGCAGAAAGGGGTTTAGAAGGAAGAGTCTGATACTTTTCAAGGCTCAGGCTGTCTTCCACCTGATGTATCTATAACAAGACTCTGACCAAGTTACCAGGAGCTGATTCAGCAAATACCAGTATTTAATCATCCTCAATTGTATCAGGCACTCAGGATATAACAAGAGTCCCAGTCCTTGTCCTCACATAGCTTTTAGCCAGGGAAACAGAACATTAATCAAATAATCAAAGCTATAAATATAAAACTGCAACTAATGACAAGTGCTATGGGATGAGGCATAGGAGGTATCATAAAAGTATTAAACAGGCTGGGGATGTAGCTCAGTGGTGCCATGCCTGGCTCACAAACCCAAGGTCCTGAATTCAATCCTGGGTACCAAAAAAAAAAAAGTATTAAACAGAAAGATGGGTGTGGTGTCACACATCTATAATCACAGCACTCAGGATGCTGAGGCAGGAGGATCAACATGAGTTTGAGGCCAGGCTAGGCTACTTAATGAACTCAAGGCCAGCCTGAACTGCATAGTGAGAGCATGTCTCAAAAACCAAAACAAGCTAGGCATGGTGGCACACGTCTGTACAGCACTCAGGAGGCTAAGGCAGGAGGATCACTGTGAATTCAAGGCCAGCCTGAACTACATAGCAGAGACCCTGTCTCAAAAACATAACAAAATAAAGTATTAAACAGAAGTAATTTGATGTGGGCAGAGGTGCTTTGTGAAGTGTTTCATGTTGAGAGCAAAAGGATGAGTATGCATAAGGAGATGAAGAGTGTAGTCTAGCCAGAGGCAAAAGTGTATGCAAGGCCTATGGCAGAGACAGCAGGCATGGCTGGCACACACAACCTCCACTCAAGAGTTCCTGCCAGGTCTTGAGGAAGATGTGGTCTCTTAACTTCAGAAACCACCAGGCCTCCTTTCCCTCCTGTTCTGCTCAAGCACTGCCTTCTGCAAGAAGGTCTCATCAACTATTTACATTTCAACCTATTTCCCAATTTTCTAGCACCTCTAAGCACCATATGTTTAATGCTTTATAGGGATTTACTCATTTTCTTTTCTTTTTTTTTTTTGGTACCGGGGATCAAACTCGGAACCTTGCGCTTGCAAGGCAGGCGCTGGAACCACTGCGCTAAATCCCCGGCCCGGGATTTACTCATTTTAAAAAGTAGGTACTTGGCGCAAGCGCAAGGACCCGAGTTCGATCCCCTGTACCAAAAAAAAAAAGTAGGTACTCGCCAGGCATGGTGGTGGATGGCTATGATCCCAGAACTGGGGAGGCTGAGATAGGACGGTCTCCACAAGTTCAAGGCCAGCCTGGGCTACATAGTGAGTTCAAGCCCACCCTAAACTATATAGCAAGACCCTGTCTCAAAAAAAAAACTTCAGAAAATGCAATCACGTCTTAATTCCTTTTATAATATATACTATATATAATAATATACATATTATATATATCTTTTATAATAATATACATATTATTTGACTTTGAAACTATAGTTTGACTTAAAACAGAATTTGAGATGGGGGAAAGATACTGCCATACTTTCTACAGAATAATCTTTCAAACTATTGTAATCCACTAATGGTTGGTGAAGTTGATTTAGTGGACCGAAATCACTTTTCTTTTTGAAAATAAAAGAATAAGATAGAACATTTCAGAAAACATTTAATAAGTACTGGTTCAAGAATTTTTTTCTTTAACTTTGTACACAGAGTTGTGATTTAAAATATATCCCTAACTGTTGGTTAAAGTTTAAAAGAAGGGTAAGAGACACTAATACAGAATAAAACAAACAGCTTATACAGTGTGACCTTATTTAAAACATAAGAGAAGCCAGGCATGATAGCACATGCCTCTAAACCCAGCACTTGGGAGGCTGAGGCAAGAGGACTGCCATGAGTTTGAAGCCTGCCTGGGCTACACAGAGAGTTCAAGGTCAGCCTGAACAAGACCCTGTCTCAAAAAAAAAAACTAGGGGCTGGGGGTTTAGCTCAGTGGTGCCACTGCCTGCTTCGCAAGCACAAGAGCCCAAGTTTGATCCCCGGTACAAAAAAAAAAAAACTAAACAAAAAAATATATGTACAAAAAGGCAGAAGAAGGTCAAAAAGAATGTTCACTGAAGTACTATCAGTAACTGCCTCTTCAGAATGTAGAGAGCATTTGCCTAACATGCAGAAAGGTCCTGGGTTTGCCCAACATCACAGTCAGTCAATCAAAGTAAGTGTACCTTGATGGCAAGATGGAGATCATTTCTTACATCCTTGTTGAATGAATTTTCTATAAGTGAACTTACAATGGTTTTATAAACCAAAAAGCAAAAGTAGGATAATAAACTATCATTCTCACAGGCCGCCTTCTCCCTCTGGAAAAAGGAGTGTCAGATTTCTCTCCAGCCCCAGTCTATGTCCTGCTTCCTTACCAAGTGGGTTGTCCTCATCCTCCTCTCCCTCCTCCTCCCCAGAGCTGTGCAGATGCTGCTGCAGGTGCTGAGTGATGTGCTCGCAGAACTCCTCCATGGCTGAGCACACGAAGGAGCAGGATCCCCACTCGCACCGGAGCCCCAGGTTCTCCTTCCGGGGAACTTTCCCAGGAGGTGACATGGCCTTTACCCTAGAGCAACAGGAAGAAATTCACAGCTGCAAGGATTCCACCCAAGCTGAGCAGGCGGCCTGCCAAGAATCAGCAGGTGTTTTGCCAGTGACCCGTGAAAAACCCTGTGCCTTTTTTAGGTAAGGACGGAGTAGCAGTTCCTCACACACCTGAAAGCTGTCTGGAGTTACTGGGAAGGGAGAACAAAAACTGACACTCTTGAGCATGTGCCAGACACTGAGCCAAACACTTTAACAGACATTTTCAAATGAAGCTTCAGGGCAACCAGCCAAGAGCAATTGCTATGGGACTCAGGAAACTGCTCAAGTTCAAAGAGATGACTTTGGAGAGAGACTAGAGTTCAAATACAAGTTCTGCTATCCTACCACCTACTACTGGTGGCTGTGCAACTTTGACAAAAATAAGGATAAGAAAACTTTTTGTTATGAATTTCATAGACAGGCATATCAAACATTTTATTTGCATCATATTGTTTAATTGGTAATTCCTATGAGTAGGCACTATTTTTTTTCTTTTTGAGACAAGGTCTCACTATGCAGTCCAGGCTGGCCTTGAACTTTCTCCGTAGCCCAGGCTAGCCTCAAACTTGGGGTGATCCTCCTGCCTCAGCCTCCCAAGTGCTGGGATTACAGACATGCGCCACCACTGTCACCACGCCACCACCAACCTGGCTGAGTAGGCACTATTTTTAACTTCATTTATAAAGAAGGACCCAAGGCTGGGAAAGGTTAACTGGTTTGTCCAAGGCCACACACTAATGGTGTGGTAGGGTCAAGAGGCAGATTCTAGTGTCCATATTCTTCCTACTCAATGCAGCCAACAGATGAACCCACAAGCTCCCTAGTTCTTACTAGATCTTTTCATAGTTCCCCTGCCAGATTTTCAGTGTCATACAATCTGTCTTTGCCTATCTAATGGTCCACTCCACCACTCCCCTAACACCCAGTGTTAAAATGTAGATTCCAAGTCCAGGATGATGGCACACACCTATAATTCCAGGACTCTGAAGGCTGGGGCAGGATTGAAAGTTTGAGCCTAGCTTGGGAAGCTTAGTGATTTAGTGAGAATTTGTCTCCAAAAAAAAAAAAAAAGCTAGGGATATAGCTCAGTGCAAAGACTCTGGGTTCAATCCCCAGTACAGCTTAAAAAAAATTTTTTTAAAGTAGATTCAGGGCTGGGGATTTAGCTCAGCGGTTCTGCTGCCTGCCTCGAAAGCGCAAGAACCCAGGTTCGATCCCTGGTACCACAAAAAAAAAGTAGATTCAATATGAATACAAGAGACCAATCTGCCTTGTTTATACTGCATCTTGGGTGTATGTCTATCCACTGCTAGACATGCTTGGGCATGTAACAAGTATTTGTTGAAGAAAGATGAAAACAAAAAGGTTTCACCAAAGTTCTAGAAGACACTAACGGGCCTTGACTCTGTCCAAGGCCACTTTCTTACTGGGGATTCTATTGATTCTTGCTGCCTCACATGGTGAACCAGCAAAGAGAATGAGCCAGCGCTCCCTCTGGCCCTCAGGAAGGCAGACGGGAAGTCGGAAAAGGGCCTTTACTAAATACCAAGAGGAAAAAACAGAAAATACAAAACATGAAATCCTGGATGCCTCCAAGTGTAGGCTTCTGAACTAACTATTCCTTCTAAACCTACACAGCCTTTTCTCCTCAAAGAATCTAGTCACCCTTGACTGGGATGAACACAGGATTGCTATGCTGCTCAGAAATTAACCGTGAAGCCTTAGTAGAAGAAAACATTGACTACTTTTATAATGTTGAGGTAGAGAAAAACAGGAAAGCCTTCCAGACTCTCACACTCTTACACTCTCTACCACCTACATATGGAATGCAAGGCTCTTCTTAAACTGGTCTCAATTTACCTCTTCAGGGGCTGGCTAAGGAAACTAGCACATGAGGGCCTATGGTATGTCAAATCCTGAGTGCGTCCTCTCCACATTTCATTTCGCATGAGTGTCATCCAATTCAAATGCAAAGATCATGATCTTTTCCCGTATCTTGCTGCTTCTCTGGCTTCATCCTCCACACACTATTCTCTCTTCCTCTCTAATTATCATTTTGTCCCTAAATGTACTACATTCTCTTAAGACTCTCCAACGTCTACTCATCCTTCAAGCCCAAATGTCTCTTCTTTGGTGACCCTTTCCCAATTCATCTAAGTACAACTGGAATATCTCATCTCCTGCCTACAGCACTCCAAACACACTTTAATTACAGTATGTGTACTTAATTACAGTACCTGCGATCCTATAGTACAATCCAAGAGAACATCTGTCTATCCTAGACTAGCAGTTGCATTCTCAATGTCAGCAGAGTTGTGTATATCCTAGATCAGTAGTGGCAAACCTATGGCATGCATGTCATAGGCCCCTGTTTGTTATCACTGAAAGCTCTAAAAGGTTGCCATCACTACCCTAGATGCTCAATAAATATTGGGATATGATCACATTTCAGGAAGTGAAAATATCTCACCCCTCACTGGTTACTTTTGTCTTTTGGTTCCGTAGCTGGCACAGTTGACAGACAACATAAAACCTCAAACCTACTTTCCTGGTGCCATAGTCACCCACTGTCCTTTTAATTGTTCTAATTTTGTTTACCTAACTGGGCTATAAGTTTCTTCTGAGCAGAAACCATGTAGTGGCCCCCTGTGTCCATACACTATGTTGAACATAGCGCTGAGGACAAATATTCTAAACACATACCTGGTTTAGACTGATGAATAAGACCTAGGAGACTGACCAGCAATCTAATGACACGAATAAGCAAAACTCCCTGATGCCTTCTTTCACCGTCCCTCAGTCTTCTTTAATTTTCCTATGCTCCTGTTTTACCCTGGGAGGATAAAGGACAAAGGAACTATATATCATCACTCCACCCTCTGGAGGCAAGGAATACAAATAGAACAACTAGTACACTGGAAAGGAAACTGAACCAGTTGTCAGAGAAGTGGGTTCAAGTTTCCTGTCTCAATTTGCTCTGACTACTAAGTATTTCCTGTACGCCAAACATTGTTCTAGGTGTTTTATAAGAATATAAACTCATGAATACACAACCCTATTGGGGCAGGTACTGTTATTATCCCATTTTAAGGACGAGAAAACAGGTCCAGATAGGTTAGGCAATTTACCCAGGGTCACAAAGCTGGGAAGTAACGGAGACAATTTAAAGTAAGGAATTTGGCTCCTTTTTTCTAGCCTGTCTCATCCCTCACATTCAAGTCCCTCCTCCATAGGCCTCATACCAATATACACAATATACAGAACATGTTTTATTAAGTCATTATTTTGTCAGCTTTGCCAATTAAGCTGTAGGTTCCTCAGAACCCTGGCCTGTGCCCTGCTCAGTTCTACGTGTAGGGCAAGCACGCACCTACTAAGAAGCTCTTGCAGCGTCTTGTTTGTTTTGTGGCTTCGGGGATGAAACCCGGGGCCTTGAATATGCTGGGCAAGCATTCTACCACTAAACTACATCCCCAGCCCTCTTGCCATGTTTTAAGGAAATCTATAAATCACTGCTTTTTGGGGGTTTTTTTTTGCAGTGCCAGGGCTTGAACTCAGGACCTTGCACTTGCAAGGCAGGTGCAGCAACTCTGAGCTAAATCCCCAGCCCAATTACTACTATTTTGGACACATCACCTAGGTTCTCTAAACTTTTTTCCTTAAATGTAAAATGGAATACTAGAATTATTTTGGGGGGGGGTACTGGGGATCGAATTCGGATCCTTGCGATTTCAAAGCAGGCAGCAGAACCACTGAGCTAAATCCCCGGCCCAAAACGGGATACTAATATTACAACCATTGATTTTGGGATTCTACTGATCTGATTACAAAGCTCCAATATTTACAATTACATGATCCTAGGCAAGTTAGTTAATCTTCAGTTTCCTATGTAGCATGGGAATAATTACACACGTCAGTGAATTAAGAAATCAAGTAACCTGGTGTGGGGGGGGGCACATGAATGGAATCGCACCACTCAGGATGCTGAGGCTGGAGGGTGGCGAGTTCAAAGCCTGGACTACATACATATCGAGGTTCGGTCTCAAAACAAATAAAAGAATTAAACTAGACATCAGATATTAAAAGTGTTTAGCTTAACACACCACTAGAACTCAACAAGTGCCAGCTATAAATACTCTTGACGCTGAGGGTGAGATGTCCAAGCATGGATACTGCAAAAAGGCCAACAAGAACCGGAGATTTAGCTCAGTGGTTCCACCGCCTGCCTCGCAAGCTCAAGATCCCGAGTTCGATCCCCGGTACGAAAACAAACAAATAGGCCAACAAAAACAACACAAGAGATTCTTCATCATCAAAGTAAGAAGCAATCAGCAAACACATGTGTGCATGTATATATCATACATTGATACCCAGCACACATCGGTATCACAAGATACCGAGTGAATCCTGAATGGTATTTAAGCAAAGGATGGACCCACATCCTAAACTCCTAAGGACTCCCAATTTAACAAAAGAGATAAGACTCTGACACACGAAGACAACTACCAAAACAATGCGCCCGAAGAGGGAGATCAGGTCGGCCAGAAACCCCGTAGGCAGCTGAATCCAGGAAAGCTCGCCTCAGCGGAGAGGGTGAATGAGGCTCGCGTGCCAAGCCTCGAGAATGGTAGAACTGGGGCGGAGGGCCCCGGAGAGAGACCGTCCGGAAGGCAAAACCTCATTCGAAGCCCTGCGGACTTCCGGGACTCCTTCCCCCGGAGGCGCGGCGGTGCTCGAGTTTCGGCTGCAGCGAAGCCCCCAGACCAGAAGCGGGGAGGTTCGAATCGGGGTGAGAGGACTAGGATAGCCCAGACCAGCGTGGCCGAGCTGTAAGAGGAACTCGGAGAGGCGGCTCCGGAAGAGCCTAGCCTCTGTAACTCCCGCAGAGCGCACCCTAGCCGCGAATTCCGCTGAGAAAGACGCTCCAACTTACGGAGCGTCGGCGCCCGGGCTCTCCAGCTCTCCACCCACCTCAGACCTTCCACCCGGAGGGCACTTGAGCGACGGCCAGCGACAACCAATCACTGTCCGCGGGTCGACTGCCAGCCAATGGCCGCTGCGCCTGACGGAACCCGTGCGCACCAAAACACGGAAGGGGCGGGAACGGCGGGTGAGTTCGGCATCCGCTGCTGGAATGAGGGGCGACCGGATGCGGGAAAAGATATCGGCGGCCAGCCCAGCCGAGTGTGCAAACGGAGAACCTGGGGGCCGAATTTTCCCAACTGCGCAGACTCGGTGCGCGGGGCCTAGTGGGCATGCGCGGGGCTCCGGCGGGGCGCCCTGTGGGGGTCTCCTTCCTCTTTTGCCCCAGGCTTTAGTTAGCCCGCCGCGTGGGCGGCAAGGCGCAGAAGTTGTGGGAGGCTCTTTGCCTAGCGCTGCTCCAGGCTCTGCCTTAACTGGCGGCCTTACCTCCACTCTTACTCTTTTTTTTGTTACTTTTTTCTTCTTCTTCTGTTAAATACTGATACTTCTGGCCGGGGATTTAGCTCAGTGGTTTCGCCGCCTGCTGCGCAATCTCAAAGACCTGAGTTCGATTCCCGGTACCCCCCCCCCAATACTGATACTCCTGTGCCCACTTCCCCCAAATCTCTGCCTAGCCTGTTTCCAGGCTTCGTGAACGCCCTTTCATCCGTCCAGTCTTTTACGTCAGAAACTTAGTACCTAGTCATCCCTGATTTCTCCCTCACCCGTCACATCCATTACACCGCCAAGTTCTGTGGAGTCTACCTTCTTAAACACAGTATCTCAAATTCATCCCCCTTTATCTTCACCTCTCCCAACCTAAGCCATTAGTGCCGTCCAGCCCAGATTTCTACGTTCAAGTGACTGGTCCCACTGCTACACTAGCTTCCTACCAAAGCATCCTCCACGGAGCCCTCAAAGCGATCTTTACAAAAACAAAAAACAAAAACCAGATCTGACCGGATCACCATCCTGCGTTATCAAACCGAGGCTTCCTAGATCCTTCACCGTCTGGGTCCTGCCTTCTTCATTGGTATCTTGAGTCTTGCTCAGTTTTATTTCCTGCGTCCATTTTTTTGTTTCTTCACCACACCGAGCCACCTTTAACCTGTCATCCCTTGTACTCGCTGTTTTCTCTGCCCCGAATAATCTTCCCCGTCTTCCTATCTCAAAATTTATGACTGATTGCTATTCATTCTGGTATCAGCCGAGATGCTTTGCTTTTTTTTCTTCCAAGAGGTCTTCCTTGACAGTCCTTTCCTGTATTTGCCAATACCAGTCATCACATCATATTGTATTTGCCTATTTATTCCTCTGCATTCTGTTATAGACAGTCGAGGGAGGACAGGGATTATATTTATTTTTTCACTAGTTTAACCCAATCACTTAGTGCAGTAGCTGAAATTCAGTAAGGGTTCAATATATTCGCTAAATAAATTATATACCTTAGTAATGTTCATTGGGATTGATATTTTATTGCATTATAGTTTTCTGTATCTTCTAGAAATAACCTATATCATTTATATAATCAGAGAAACATTAAATTTCAATATAAATAAAATGAATTTAAAGATCCCCTTTAAAATGGTAAGTTCAGGGCTAGGAGTATAGCTCCGTGGTACAGCACTGGCCAACTGGCCTACAGAGGTTCTGGGTTTGCTCCAGCATCAAAAAAAAAAAAAAAAGCGTGCATGATTTTGTTGTTGTCATTGTTGATGCTACTGTTTGTTGCAATAATGGGGATTGAACTCAGCCCCTGGCACATGAGAGACAAGTACTCTACCATGGAGTTACATCCTCAGTATGAGTTTTGCTTTTAACAGTGAATTTTAGCTTAGTCCCTATTTTAAAATTGGATTTTAAAAACATAATTGAAAAATACAAAATCTATTCTACCAACTTTATTCATTCAGAAATGTATACGGTAAAACTTCATGAAATGCTAACCTCATTTTAATTCAGACCTAACACCACTGGAAATAGCTCTTAGCTTTATTTTAGCAGTTTCGTGAAGAATAAGTTCAATCACAGAGTTGTGTGAACTTCAACATAGGTTTTACAGCAAAAATTTCAGTACTGCTCTAGAATCTATGTTTCCAAAATTTAAGGCAGTGTCTTGCTGTCTAGCATAGTTTACTTCTTTCTCAGCCTGTTTCTATTGAAAACAAGCCACAATTTTGGCTGGCTAATGCAGACAGATTCCAAAATTTATTCTTTTTTTTTCTTCTGATACTGGGGATTGAACTCAGGACCTTCTGCTTGCCAGGTAGGCACAGTGCTGCTGAGCTACATCCCCAGCCCCTGAGATTTATTCTTTAAAAGCTGCCACCAAAAAAACCCGCCAAAAAAACCCTTAAAGCATAATTTATTCTTACTAAAAAGCTGTGGCCGGGGATTTAGCTCAGTGGTTCTGCCACCTGCCTTGCAAGCACAAGGTCCTGAGTCTGATCCCTGGTACCAAAAAAAAAAAAAAAAAAAAAAGCTGTGGATCTCTATCTAGGGTAAGATGGGTTGTTAATAGAATAAAATTGTTTCATTTATTTATTTGGCTTCACACATGCTAGACAAACACTTTATCACTGAGCTACACTCTGTTTTGCATTCATTTTGAAAATGTTTGAAAGGGCCGGGGATTTAGCTCAGTGCTTTCGCCGCCTGTTGCGCAAGCGCAAGGACTCGAGTTCAATCCCCAGTACCAAAACAAACAAACAAAAAAATAAAATAAAAATACAATTGAAAATGTTTGAAATGTGATTCGAGTCATCTTCACTTTAACGATATCTATTTCCATTGATCTCTAGGCAACACAGCACCAAACACAGGTCCAATGGAACTTTTGACTATCTGCCCTCCATCAACAAGTTTCCTATGAAATTACAAAGTCAGCGTGTTTGCCTATCTTTATTTTTTATTAATTTTTTTGTCTGTCTTTAATACTGGTAAACAAACTGCTCCAGGAGAAACAGCTTGAAAAATGAGCTTTCATGAACTATAGTTGAGCCTTTCACTACATAAAAAGTAACTGAATATCCAAATCCTGCCACTCTTTTCAAATACCGTGTATTGGGCCGGGGATTTAGCTCAGTGGTTCAGCCACCTGCCTCGCAAGCACAAGGACCCGAGTTCGATCTCCCGTACCCCCCCAAAAATACTGTGTATTCCATGACTAGTATGGAAAAGAGCAGGGAGAATATTAATAGTTCCATGCTGTCTACCCAGACATGTGTCCTGAACTCTCTGTGATGCAGGTAAGTCACAGAATGCTAAGACTAGAAGTGACCTGACTGATTATCCAGGCCACACTTATTTAAGATGAGAAAATTGAGGTCCAAAAAGTGGCTTGCTCAGTCACTTAGTGTGTTTGTGGTAGACTCAGTTTTCCTACCTGCTGGTGCTGTGGTCTGCCCAACATCCTTAAAAAGCCTACCTGGTTCAAGTCCTTTTAAGATCTTAGAGGACAAGAACCAGGGACACAGAGATTGCTAGTATCTATGGCTCCCTAAAACTTGCCAGAATTTAGGAATAAAAGACTTTGTTATGATGAAAGACATAAGACTTCTCCTTTCCGACTGGTCACTTCTGAGGCAATAGTTACCACTCAGCACTGACTATATAAAACAGTTCTAAGTAAGCACTTTACTCATGTACTTCTCTTCCACAACTGAATGACAGCTGTTATGGTTTTCACTTTACAGATGAGCAAACTGAAGCACCCAGAGCTTACATAACTTCCTCAAGGTCACACAGGCAATTAATGGAGCTGGGACACAAGTCCAGGCAGTCTAGTTCCGGAGTCCATCCTCTGAACTCTATTTTGTCCACAAAGGATCAGCTTGTTTGAGAAAAAGGGATGAAGATGCCTAGAGTAGCCAATTGGCTTTCTTTCTGTAGCTTCACCTTTCAGAGATTCTTATCCCTCCCATCCTTTCTCTACACATCCATCTGTCCCATCTTGCTACCCGAGTCCCTGTCCCTCATTCTCAACCTATCAGCACCACAGCCTCACTGCCTATTTGTCTTTCAAAGGATTACCAGTTGTCCAATTTATAAACTCCAATTTGACTTTAATTTAATAAATTAAATTCCAAGCCATCACACAGCAATGGACATCATCATCCCCCAACAGAGGTGCACCTTTGCTCTCGCTTGCTCATTATCACACAGTCTTTAAAGCCCCTAAAGCCACGTCTCTGGACAAGGCTTCCCACCAGGCTCCTGGCTCCCTCCTTCCATCTGAGCCACTGCTCATGGAGAAGGCCTCAAGTACAAAAAAACGATAAGAAACGGGGAGGGAGGGAGGGAAGAGGAGCATAGGGGAGGCAGGGAGGTGGGGAGTACCTGCCCCCCATCCCAGGCACCGGCCCGGCTTCCTATGAGCTGCCAATGTCCTCGGAGGCAGACATTGGTGCTGGTCTGAGTGGGGACCTGAAGGAGGTGTGGGAACCCCCCCAAGAATTGCCTACCCTTCTGGGACAGAAAAGAAGGGTCACCTGGGAGAGATGCCCTCTGTCATCTGTTCTGAGGATCCTAGATCACACATATAAATAGAAAAGAGAATAAATAAGGGAGGAAAGATTCACTGAGGAGCTGAGCACCCTGGAACTCCTTTTGGGGGGGGGGCAGTGTCAGCAGGGGTCAGACGCTTCTGAGGAATGTCCACACATGCCAGGACAGAGCCCGCCTCTTACTCCCAGCTACCTACTCTCTTCTGTGCCCGCAGCAGTGGGTTCCCACCTCTCAAATGTTTCCCACTGCAAGTTCCCTTCCAACCAGCCCCACAGCCCAGGGTGGACAGGGCTTCCTGGAACCCAAGGGCTTTCCTGACCTCAGCCTTGGGAATCCAGGAAGGGGTAGGGAAGGGGATGTGGGGAATGGGCTGACAGAACTCTTGCCCTCTCATAGCTCAGGAAGTAAGGCGGGCTCTCAGAGCTGGGGGCTGGGGTTGCCATTGGCCTTGGGTTTGGATTTGAAGGAAAAACGCTTGATAAGGCGGCGGGAAAAACTGCCGGCCTTCTTTCGG